GGGCCAATTTATCACATTTATATCACATTTGATATAAATCACATAAAAACACATGTAAATAACATGAAAATTATTTCTTTGGAAAAAATAATTTAATCTCCATCTATCATTACCTACATAGCCTGAAATTGAATGAAAAAAAAGTATACTGTGTCTTTTCCATTGTACCCCAAGGGAGATGAATTGTTTGGAGACTGGAGTGAAAACAGAACAATTTATTTAATGAGGAGATTTGAGAATTCTGACATAGAGAAATTTTCTGGTCACAGTCTCTATCAAAACCAATGTGGGCTTTCTGGGGACATATTGTGGAGGAGAGAAAGCTTCACTGGTAAACATAGGAGAGCTTTAGTTTGTCTCAGTTAGGGCTGAGGGAGCAAGAAGAAGAAAAAGATAACAAGTGTGTACTAGGCCTTACCTCTAGGATACTAAGTATGACAAATTTCTATATTTCTTTGGGCTATGAAGGTGAAATCCTCTTATACTAAAGGACTTTAGTTTCCATAGAACCCATTCATCTTCAGAGCTTATTTTATTTTTTTCTCCACTATCAGGAATCCTGAGCCTTACTACAACAAGAATTATTTTATGGAGCGTCTACAACTCTTCTTCAATATTTCATATAAATTCTAGGTGACAGTTGAATGACCTGCATCCAATTTTATTGATTATTCACTGAAGATCTATTACACAGGAGGTATTGTGCATATTGTTTTACATTTGTTTGGACTTTTTTCTTGACCTCGTAACTAATTGTGCTGGCATATTAAACTTAATATTAGCCCTTCTTAGTGAAATATTGCTGTAAATAACATTTCAAGTTAGAGTCCACAGTATCTTCTCCCATCCCTTTAAATTTCAGGGAAAATATAAAAAGACTGAAAAGGGAGGAGATTGACTTGGGATATTCTAAAATTCAACAAAAATATTTCTCATTCCTAGTCCAGGCTGCTGACTTCTGTAATGGCTATTAAAATTTCTCCAATTCAATATATCTATTATGGTTATGGTTTATTTTTATTGAGTTTGTTTTTATTAAAAATATTTTTATTATATAATATTTTATAAGAGTTATGCCTTGTGACATTTACATATGTGCTTACAATATATTTTAATTAGATTCATACCCTCTATCATTCATCCTCATCCTTCTTCCTTCCCTTCTTAAAATCATTTCAGCAGCATTCATTGTTCTGTTTTCATATGCAAATACAAAAGATATCCAATATATTTGCCCTCCTCCATTCTTTCCTAATGCTGCCCTTCTTCAAACTATTACCTATATCTAAAGTATCTGTTTTACTTCCCTGTGCTAAATTTTTAAGTGAATATTAATTGTTCAAAGTGGTTTCCCCTTGGTATTTCAGACATGTATATATATCATGCTTTCATTAGATTAACTACCCATTCCTAATTCTATTTTTATCTCTATGTTGTCTATTATTCAACACTAACAATGCATTGAGTTATATTATCTTAATATACTGGTCTAATGTTTCAATATTTCTCACTCTCTAACATTTCTTTCCTTCTTATACCTCCCAGTAGTCCTCACAGACAAACTCAATGTTACAATCTTCATAAACAGGTGAAATATGGTAAATTATGTTTAAAATATTTTTATTATGTTTATTTATTTCCATTCCAATAGTATTACTTATTTATTATATGCAATTCATTGAAAAGACACGTGAAGGAATTTTATTAACACTAATGTAGATTTTTGGTCTATATTCATACATATGATAAGGTTGAAGTTTTATCTTATATGTTGCAGCAAGCATTTCGTTTCCATCATAATTATATATCTATATCTTGGGGGGGGGTTTCAGCACTTACAATGTGACAAGATCGAGGAATATACTTGGTAAAGAATGTGATTAGTAAAACTGTCACAATCTCAGAAACACAGATTACTGTGAATTTAATAATGTGCAATGGATATTAGGGAAGACTACAGGAAGCTCTGGTTTGAACATCATAGATACTGAAACTGATCCCTCTTGACCCCATCCCCAGATTTCCATGGTTCTTTTTTGTTAATGATTTTACCCTCATTAGGATTCAAATACCATCCCACAATCTCACCTAGACAACCACAATTTCTATTATTTCTGCCTAGAATATGTCAACTCTCATTTTAGTTAGCAATGGCTGATTCTTCCTCTATCAGTTCCAGCATTTCTACTTCAAAAAAGACTCTTCTTCTCACTTTCAAAGATTAATTTTTCTTCAATGGTGTTTTTCAGTATTTAAAATCATTCTGTAGGCAATTTTCATGATGGACCTTGTTTTCTGAGGTATCAAAAATTAAATTTATTTCTCTATTTTTCAATTTGTTATTACAATATATTCATTACTCAGGAAGAGATTCATAATAACAATTCTGATTAGCATTATATTGCATATTAGTTTCATTGCCCCCATCTTCTCTCCCACTACCCCCTCCCTGACCCATTTAAAATAATTTCAGGAGGTTTTTTGTTCTATCACATAGGTATGTGAAATCTATCAACCATATATCATCACCTTAATTTCTTTCATGCCTCCTCCCCCCTCCCATTTGTACCCTCCCACACACATATACACTGTACCTATTTTCCAGTCCTGTTTTCATTATTAATATTTTAGTTAATGTTCAAAGGGCTTTCTCAATGTATCCCTGCTATTGGTATGCTTTATTTTGGGCCATTCAACTCCTTCCACTGCTGTCCCTTACCCCTTTACCTCCCACCCACCATTTGCAACAGCTTTCAGTACACATCCTTGTATTCCCTACCTTTTATATCATTGAAAATGAAAACATCCACTGTAAATAAAATTGTACCTTTTGAATATTTTTAACAAACTCATCATTTATATATTTTAGTAATTAATTCAAGTGATTTTAGTATATCAAATGCTCTTTAATAGCATGGACACATGAGATCGCATAATTAAACATCATGTTTGTTTTTGTTGGTGGACTGTTGTATTTTCCTTACTAACTATGTAATCCATATTATTTTTCTGCTTCTTAGGAGTATGTACTAAACTGACATTCTTGGAATGAAGGGATCATAGGGATATTTTTAATCACAAGGTTTATTTGACTGTCAAAATATGGTACAGAGCTCTTGAATCTATATTATTGAGAATTCCACCTCTGAAATTTGGCACAGTTGAAGGGGAATGTGGAGAATTTATAGCAACATAAAACAGATATTTAGAATTTAAGCTCACATTTATTAAAATCTCATTGTATGTTACAGGAATGATAGCATAAATAGTATATTATCTCATTTAATTGCACTATTCTCTTCAGACATGTGATGTATACTGATTGCTTCTATTGCAGACATCAGACATTTGGAAATAATATGGTATATTTATAAGATAAACTAGGAGTTTAAAAAGTATTAAAGCAATTTATAGTTCAAATTAAATAACTAAAAATATTGTGAATGGGGAAGGAAAAGGGAAAAAACACTAAGATAGGGAAGAGGAGCATATATGTGGGATGAAAGTATAAGTAAGGAAGGAAAGCACAATGAAATAAGTAAAGATAAAGAAAAAATAGTAAAATATAAGCAGTTATAAATTCTTCCTTTCTGAGGAGATGATGAGGGATTTCTTTTCTAAAAGTTTTCCTTAGTGTATGTGGGAGACAGCAATTTTTCTTTCTGAAATCCAAAGAACTCAACAAAGAAAGGACTATTTTAGGACTAAGTTGTACTTTCCCTGATGGTTTGAATACTTCTACAGGAGCCGTCCTCAAACTGCTCCCACCTGCTTCACCTGAGGACTTCTGGAGTTGGAAGATTCTCACAAGGAGAGGAACTCTGTCCATGTGGGTTTGATATGCGAAATTCTGAATCAGTGACTGATTTACTCCCATCTTTCTGTCAAATCAAAGTAGTCAAATCAAAGTACACTGCAATAGCCCTGCAAGGCACAGTCTCTGGTTGGTCCTGCATGCAGGACCAATATCCAGGGATATTCACACACACACGTGATCTCTTTCCTGTTACCACATTTCAGGTTGTAGTTCCATTAATGTTGTCACCATTGGCTTTTCACTTTTGGTGCCATGGTTTAACTTCACATTCAAGGAGATCCAACAAACTGTGGGAGACACAGTCTGCTTCCTTGGTCCAGGTGATACTCAGGGTGGTTGTGCACATAGCCAATGGACAGGCAGAGACATTTAGAATATGGGGAAATTAAATACAGAGCCTTTTGCTTTCCCAGGCCAAGCAGTTTCCCTGTATGACTTCTCATAAGATGGTTTCTGCCCACATCAGCAGGGAGGAAACTATAAAGAACAGGGACAAGTTCTATGGCATCTGCTTTCTGCATCACTTATAGATCACTCATAAGAACGTTATTTTGGTTACTTAATCTGGTTTCATTTCAAAAAGTAGGATCTTCTCTGCTAATTACATAAAAAACCTTTCTGGAATTTTATACTTAACAAATTTTATTTAAATTAGTGTACATGAGTGCTATTATTTACTGAGGCTCCTACTGAGCACAAACACATTTTATACTTCACAAAAAAGGTAATATCAATTCAAATGTTTAAAAATAAATAATCACTGAGAGTGAACGAATCCATAACAAAATATCATGTTAATGAATGAAAGTAATTTCTCCTTAAAATCTATATTTAATCAACATTGAGGGGCTGTTGTGTAAAGAAGTATGGAGAATATTAACTTATGATAAAAAGTTACTTCAATTCTTCTGGGAGGATTCTATAAAGAAACAAAATTAGTGTGTGCTCAAGGATGATTGAGACTAGTGAGGTAATGGTAAAGTGGTAGATTTTGGCTAATATAAGAACGTTTGAATAAATATAATATAGAAGTGAAGAGATCTACCACTTGGTTGAATGAATGACTTATTGGCAAGAATAAATACAGGAAGAAAGACACCTTGCCAAAGGTGGTATTTAAAGTAATCAGTAAGTTAGAGTCCTATTTACTGTCCTTTGAACAACTATTTTTACGTTGCAATAGACACAGCAGCTACATGGATGCAAGAACCATACAGGAATACCACAGTTCCTGCTCCAGGGATTCTCAGATGATCCTGAGTTACAGTCCTTGCTCTTTGGGCTGTTTCTGTGTATGTACCTGCTCACAGTACTTGGGAATCTGCTTATTATTCTGGCTACATGCACTGACACTCACCTCCACAACCCCATGTACTTCTTCCTCTGCAATCTGTCCTTTATTGATATTTGTTTCACCTCTACCACAGTCCCAAAGATGCTGGTCAACATCCAGACAGAGAGCAAAAACATCTCCTACATAGAATGCCTTACTCAGGTTTATTTTTTTATTACTTTTCTTGGAATGGATAATTTCCTACTTACTGTGATGGCTTATGACCGTTTTGTGGCCATCTGTCATCCCCTTAAGTACACAGTCATTATGAATTACTGGCTCTGTGGTTTTTTGGTCCTGATATCTTGGATTATAATGTCCTCAGTCTCCCTCATTCACATTCTACTGATGAAGCTATTAACTTTCTCTATAGGAACTCAGATCCCACATTTCTTCTGTGAATTAGCTCTTCTCCTCAATGTGGCCAGTTCTCCCCCCCTCATGAATAACATCTTTTTATATGTGACAACTGCCATGCTAGGTGCAATTCCAGCTACTGGGATCATTTTCTCTTACTCTCAGATTCTATACACCTTACTGAGGATGTCATCCCTTAAAAGCAAGTATAAAGCATTTTCGACCTGTGTGTCTCACCTCAGTGTGGTTTCCTTGTTCTATGGAACAGGGCTTGGGGTTTACCTCAGTTCTGGTGTGAACCATTCTCCCAAGAGAAGCATGATTATCTCAGTGATGTACACACTGGTCACCCCCATGCTGAACCCCTTCATATACAGCCTGAGGAACAAGGATGTGAAGGGGACCCTGGGAAGACTCCTCAGCAAGCAACCTGTAATTTGTAAAAACCATCAGACTCAAAACAAATAAGATATTTTGTTTCCTTACTCAAATCTTGTGACTTTTGACCTACTGTCTCCCTTACATTCCTAAAACATTTGTTTAACCTTGTCTATGCACTGCTGTTTTGCTTTTATATATTGTTATAATTATTTCTTTCTAAATCCCCTCTGTAAGTCATTAAAAAAAGCCATTTTCCCCATAAGTGAATCCTGAGATATCCAATTTGAGATAAATAAAATACAACAAGAGCTTCCATGGTTTCTTTTGAAGCTAGTGCTTGAAAATTAGTATTTTTTCCTGAATTTGTTAGTATTATTGTTTTCCCCATAATAAATAGAAGAAAATCACTCAGTAAACTTACTTACTATAAAAATACAGTTATGGTCACTTTTGTGTATGATTTTACCCAGCAAAATATTTCTTGACAAGTTTTCTCATTTACATCATTTATAAAGGGAATTGGTAGAGATGGATTTTCTACAAATGGATTGTGTCAATAGAACATACTCCTACCTTCATTATTCTGCTTTTATATCTCTGTTAGATAACTTCTGCAAGTTTGATTCTATGTCTGATTTTCATAGAATTCACAGTGATAAAATGTCTATCATAACTCTGAGATTTTCCTTTTTTCCCTCTGTCATTCCCTCTTTTTTTCTTTGAGTTATTCCTCCTACCTTTTCTGTCTTGTGTGGGTCAGTATTTATACTATCTCCAATCTTTATACTTATTCATTCTATATATTTATCACAGGGTGTTCATCCTTTCATCAATTGATGGACTTGTGGGTAATTTTCACCTTTTACCTATTGTTAATATTATTGCTATGCACCTTTAAGTATGTTTTTGGAAAATGGTCATGTGCTCAATGAAAAATAAACAAAAGTCTGAATGCATGATGGTAGTCTCATAATCTCAAATTAACTGACGATTTCACAGTCATGTAAATGTATGGAAATATGCTGTAAGACATTTCCACAATGACATACTACCTAATGATGAACTTTTCTGAACCATTCCTAATTGGTAAGCAGTATATGACTAGGTTTTTCTCAATTGTCTTCAATAAATTTAGATTCTTATTTTTAATCATGTTTCAGATTTAATGCTTGTGAATAGAGAAAGAAATAGCAGTTATTTTGAGTCTTTTCACTTCCCTCTGCTTGGTAACTAAATACTTCTCAAAGGCAGAGTTGGAAATTGGTGTTGTTTGATGTGCAGATATGTTGTTGTGATTCTCATCTACAATACATCAGCTAGAACCAATGAAATACATACAAAGCTACAATTCATGACCCTAATTGCAATCAGGCTTTTAAAGATAGAGAGATTGATAGATAGATAGGTAGGTAGATAGAAAGATAGATAGATGATGGATGAATAGAGTTAGATAGATGATAGATAGGTACTTGATAAATATACATATAAAGATGTAGATAGATATAGATACAGATATAGACATCAATACAGATATAGACATAGAGACAGAGATATATGAATATCCTCAAAATCATGATTCTCCTACCTCAAACTCCAGAGTTCCTGAGATTACAGAAGTGTACCACCTCAGTTGGATAACCACAGATATCTGAAAGTCATCTCCTTTGAACAGAAGCTATGTGTGTTTTTCCAACATTTAATTAATTCTTCGTCACACATCTTCTGTTAGTCACAATTTCTCTCTTGTCTTTTTTTCTTATTTTTTTACCTCCATATAAATATGAGCCCATATTTTAACTTGTTTGAGATAAATGTAGCTACACAGGGAGTTTCCTTGTGGTTTATCTTCTCTAATTTTCCTCATTCTACCTTAGTCCCTTTCTTATGGTAGTTTCAGACAGTGTAAGATTTCTGTATTCATTCTTGTATAGAGCATATTTCAGCCATATTCAAGTGCTTAGTTTCCCCACCCCTTCCATACATGACTATCCTTTAGTATGACCAGTCTTTCATAATATTGCTGTTTCCTTTTTTTCTCCTACAAAGTCAGAGAACAGAAGGGTTAAAGGGGTCCTTTCCAGAGTGGGAGGGTTGCCACCAGCGGGAGGGGGGAGATGATGGCTAAAGGGGGTAGGAGGCTGAATACAGTGTAAAAATGAGTACACATGTATGTAAATGCAAAAATGATACCTGCTGAAAATAGTCCAGTAATTGGGGGAGTGGGAAATAAAAGAACAGTACAGGGGGACATTGAAGTATGATATATTTGATATACTGTAAGAATCTAAGTAAATGGCACAATGTACCATCCAGCACAACAATAAAGGAATAAATAAATAAATAAATAAGAGCTTACATGGTGTTTGTGAATGGCCTGATGTAATGTCATCCAGTTTTTCCACGTTGTAGAAATCACCATTAGAAAGCCGGCGGGAAATCCGAGTTTCGCGGGAGGACCTTGGCAAGTAAACCATATCCCTTCATTCAAGTCAGCAGCAGCTTCCTGGAGCCATTTTTCAACTGCTGGCCGCAGCACCAGGGCTGCCACCACCGCCTCGCAATCCGTTACATTGGCTGCCCCTGACGCCTCCATCCTCCCTCGGGGTCTGATATCCTTGCGGCCGGGACCCTCCTCTCTCCAGAGCCCTGATTATTTTTGGCCCCCGGGGCTTGTGCGGTGCGGAAAAATAAAAGGAGAGAGAGGGGGTTCGGAAGCGCCGGGCAGGGAGGAGAGAAGGAGGAGAGACTTGGAAACTGCGACTGCAAATAATAAAGAAATTGAAAGCAATCAATTAATATACCATAACACTAAAAGAGCAGGAGCAAGAGATGAGAAGGGGATCCAACCCGCCCTGGAGCAGTACCTGGTGACCACCGGGGGTGGGGAGGGGGCAGCTGTCGTCACCGCTGCCACTGCAGCCTCCATGGACAAAAGGGCACTGCTAGCCAGCCCTGGCTTCGCAGCTGCCTCTGCAGCCGCCCTGGTAGCATACACCCAGATCGTCATCACGAACACTTCCACCACCTCCTGTTCCTCCTCCCTCCAAAGCGGCGCCTTCTCCGCCGGCCCCCTACACCCCTGTGTCCCCGGCACGGAGCCCACCGCTGGCAGCCTCCTCCATACCAAGCCACAGGGACCCTCCAGCAGAGCCGCAGCAGCCACCAGCGCCGGGACGCAGCAGCGGCGGTGGCGGCCCTCCAGCAAAGCGAAGGCTGGATCTGGGTGAAAGCGGCCACCAGTACCTCTCAGATGGTTTGTTGAAAACCCCCAAGGGCAAAGGAAGAGCTGCACTGCGAAGTCCAGATAGTCCAAAAAAAAAAAAAACAAAAAAAAACAAAAAAACACGGTATGACACATCAGTGGGCCTACTCACCAAGAAGTTCATTCAGCTACTGAGCCAGTCCCCCGATGGGGTCTTGGATTTGAACAAGGCGGCAGAGGTGCTGAAAAGGCAGAAGAGAAGGATTTACGATATCACTAATGTGCTGGAAGGCATCCACCTCATCAAGAAAAAGTCTAAGAACAACGTCCAGTGGATCGGCTGCAGTCTGTCTGAGGATGGGGGCATGCTGGCCCAGTGTCAAGGCCTGTCAAAAGAAGTGACTAAGCTTAGTCAGGAAGAGAAGAAGTTAGATCAACTGATCCGAAGCTGCACCGGGAACCTCAAACTGTTAACCGAGGATTCAGAGAATCAAAGGTTAGCTTATGTTACATATCAAGATATTCGAAAAATTAGTGGACTTAAAGACCAAACTGTTATAGTTGTAAAAGCCCCTCCAGAAACAAGACTTGTGCCTGACTCAATAGAGAGCCTACAAATACATTTGGCAAGTACCCAAGGACCCATTGAGGTTTACCTGTGTCCAGAAGAGACTGAAACACACAGTCCGATGAAAACAACCAACCAGGACCACAATGGGAATATCTCTAAACCTGCTTCCAAAGACTTGGCTTCAAACAACTCAGGACATAGTGATTGCTCAATTTCTATGGCAAACCTTTTTCCTCTGGCCTCCACCGCCAACCTTTTACAGCAGACTGAGGACCAAATTCCTTCCAAACTTACTGGCTCCCCTGCTCCAAGAGGACTACCTGCTGAGCCTGGGGGAGGCAGAAGGCATCAGCGATCTCTTTGACGCTATGATTTGGAAAAGCTGCCACTGGTGGAAGATTTTATGTGTAGTTAATTGTGCTTCATGTGAACTCTCCTTATAAACCAATATTTTTTTATCATGGAACCATAACATCTGTCATGCAGTGTTGTCCCTTCCTACCTTCTTCCTCCAAGAGAGTATCATGAAGTAAACTACAAACTTCAGAACAAAACTGACATTTTAATGAATTAAAAAGAAATTGTCTAAACGCACAGTCGCAGGCTCCCTTGGGAAAGCCCTGCCTTATCCCAGGCTCCAAAACCTCCTGGATGAGTCAGGAAGTGAGAAAATGTGCAATCAGGTGTTCTCACCTGTCCTTTTCCTTCCCAACTCCCTCCCTTCCTCCCTCCCTCCCAGATTGGCTTGCTGTGCCTGACGGATGGACTGCAGAATGGGGTCTGTCCACCTGGCCCACTGGAAAACAGCAATCTTCCTTAATAGCATTTAATGCCGTGCCTTCTCTGCAGAATGCATGTCTTTGGGGTCTGCTAATATGGAATAGAACTGCAGCAAATGTAAACTTGAAGTCATGCAACAGTATGAAATGGATTTCTTCAGCACTTCTTAAGAATATTTAAATTACTGTCATAATTCAATTTAAGCTATGGACTGTGTGTCCCACTTGGAAGTCGAGACGACCTCCACAGCCTTTTGGATGAAGAACCTGTTTTTAAGTACTTGTTGCAGATACAGATTGGTAGAGTTCTGCCACTCCAAGCTGTTGTGGATTTGCCTGTCACCATAAACCACTCCCACTTCACTGTCCCCAATGTATTTGTGAGTTTCCAGGTGATTTGTAGCAAATGCCTACTTAGGAGTTCCTTGTGGATTGTTTTTAGACTTTACTTTTTTAGCTGCCATTTAACATTCCTGTGGCACCCATCACCATTTCAATTGTTTACTTTAAAGCAGTTTTTACAAATTCATATTAT